TAGTGGTAGAAGGTAAAAAATAAAAACAAATAATTATAAGTGAAGTAAAAAAATAAATAACCAAATAAATAAACAATTATATCAATTAAATAACACAAGTCTGCAGAAAATCTAAATAGGATAACATGACAGAAGTTGCTATTCTAGATTGGGTGGTCTGAGGACATTCTTTTGCGTTGTGATTCTGAAATAGAATGACAAATAGGTATCCCCTCAGTGATCAGAGAGAGAGCATTCCAAGTATATAGTAAGTATAAAGCCCAAGTATAAAGCCCACAAAGCAGGAAGAAATTTAACATATTCAAAACTCAGAAAGAAAGCTAACTTGGTTGGAGCTGAATGAACAAGGACCTGAGTGAAAAGCAGTAAAGTGGGAGAATAAAGCAAGGCCCTGATCATTGAGGACTTTGTAAACCAAGTAAGGTATTAGAAAAGTAATGAAGTAGCAGAATAATGAGAAAAAAGAGTAAATAAATAAATGGAAGAAGTCAAGGAGAAAGGAGGGGGGAAGAACAAAAGACAAGATAGAAAAAAATTTTGAGCCATTGCTATAATATATCAGGAAGCATAAAATCTTGTTAAGGAGATAAACTTTTAATGTAACAAAATGAAAAAAAAAAAAACAATCAACAGAATTCTGAGGGAGAACTAAGGCTGGTTAGCCTAGGGTACTACTTGTCTTGACTGGGACATTCACAAAATAGTCCCATGATCATGGCATGGGCTTGGCTAGATGTCTGAGAAAGAGAAAACTAGAAATCAGCCCAAGACACTAATCTTAAATCAAACTAATAGACCTCTAAGATTTTGGTTAAAATGAAGTCGTTTGTTTCTGGGAGGTTATAGTACAGAAACCACATTTGGGCCAAACTCTAATTATAGGCCCAAAAAGAAGAAACTGATAGGGATCATAAAAGCGGTAGGTCTGAAATTCACAAAGAACAAATGGCACAAACAAATAATATAAAGGTTCAATAGAAAAAGAAACCATTTCAGGTCAAGGGACAAAAGAAGTGATTTTCAGAGAAAGTGGATGTTGATTATACCCAGACCAGGATGGGTTGTGTTTGAGAGTACATACCTCTCATTGAACACTCCGGAGGCCCCACTTCAGGAAATCATAGGCAGTTGATAGTTTGTAGCCCAAGTTTAGTTTTGTGGGCTAGCCTCTCTCAATTCCTCTGAAACTTACGTTTCCTTTTGTGAAAGGAAGAGGTATATATTACTGTTTTCCTTAATATCTCTATTCCTGAACAAATCACTCCTAGAAATTATACTTTACAGTCATAATTTACATATGCATATATACGGATCTTAAATATAATAAAGTCATACTCATAGAATCAAGCTAGAGCCATTAAGCCAGGGGATATCGTCGTGATGGACATATGATGATGTGTCAAAACCTATTACCTTCATTGAGTTGAGAATTCATTTTTCAACTCTGGCAACATATAAAAATTCTCATTTTTATCTGTTAATTATCTTTGAAATTGTGCTATGTCTCTCTCCTCTTCAGTTAGGCAGCGTGGTGCTTTAGAAAAACTACTTAATTAAGAATCGAAAGACCTGCATAGTACTACAATTCTAGGATATTTTTTAACAGTGAAAAAAAACAATAATTTCCATGAAGGCAAGGCAGAGAACATGTCTGTTTTATTAAAACTAAGTTCTCAATGCCTAAAAGGGCATGAACTGTAGAAGCTGCACAATAACTATTGGTTGTATGAATAAAGGAATGAATGAACTCACTGAGCCCTCTGTGCCTTAGCTTTCTCATTGAAATGTGGAGGTGATATATGTTTTCTACCTACTTTGATATGTAATTAGAATTTCCTGGAAAATTATAATTTATACGTAAGAAAATCATTTCTATTATAAGTAGATCTCAAATTCAAATTTGATCCTCTTGATTCACAGAATATTGGTCCACTTCACAGTAGTTTTCTATAAGCCTCTTAACTGATTTTTCAGGTGAAGTAAAGGGGGGAAAAAGCAGACATGACATTTTGAAAGAACTAACTTGTAAGCTATTTTTGTTTCCTCTTCATCATTTGTGTTATTGGAAGAGAGCAAAGATCCAGATAATTTCTATAGTACTTTAATCTGACAGTCATAGGTACTTGGCACTGATATGTGTTTTTGTACTTTGAGTTGAATAAAGGGTGTCTGGTGCTCTTGTAATTGAACTAAAACAAAATAACGAAGTCACAATGACAATATCTGGTTCAGGATTTCCTCAATTTAAGGTTTCCGCACCTTAATCCATACAGACTAACATTGCTCTTTTTCTCCCCTAGATGAAGGAACCC